TAATAAGGATCTCAAAGATGACAAGAGAGCAAAAATAATATCTTAAGGAAAAGGCCAATATGATCTTTTAGGTCAGGAAGACAGCATTACCATTTACCAAACTCAAGGATAGTTAGACCCTTGGCTCACCAAAATCCATGAGATCACTTTCTCCCTGACCCCTTCCCCAAATTTCTCAAATGTGAATTGCTTACTTTTACATTATGTACTTAATTAACTACTTTCATTACTAATTGAACTACCTCAATGCTACCTCACTTACTTACTTTCATATACCCATGAAATTCAGTGACATTAACGCATTAAACAGTAATTTAGAAGAGGACATAATCAAAACAAAGCCTGAGTACAGCAGCACTCTCTCCCTCATTGCTCCTAGAGACAAAATCTTTGGTACAAACTCATACATTACACAGCACTTCTCCTACTTGCCTACTAAATAAAATACCAGTGAAATATATATCTGTTTATCCTCCATGGTTTTGAAAATCTCCACTTGTCTTTACTTCAGAGACATATGGGATCAGACCAGCAGTCCATCTAGCACAGTATTACATCTCAGACAGTAGCAATGAATAGGTCATGCTATTTAAGTAGAGTATATGGGCCTGGCCACGTTTTCTGGTGTCTGTTCATTATTCTTCAAGATCCACCATACTAGAGACGTTAGGGGATATTCTCTGCCAGTTTTCTTCACCTGTGAGAACTATTGTCTGAAGCTGTCCCATCTCTCTTTGAATCTGTAAACACTATCTGCCTGCAACTTTCTGTGGCAACAAGTTCAAGAACCTACTGCCATCCACATAAAAGAAGTAGACTTTTTATCTGTTTTAAACTTCTTTCTTGAGAGTTTCAGCAAATGTCTCCCAGTTTCACCATTATTGAATTTCATAGTTAACTATTCTACCTTCACCTAATCCACCACCTTTATCATTCTGCAAGATTTTACCATCTCCCCCTCATACTACTAGCTTTCTTCTCTCCAAATTGAAGCAGTCTTTTTAATTTCTTTTTGTAAGATTTTTCAACTGGCAGTCTTTCAGATGTTTTACTTGCCCTTCTCTGGACCTTTTATAGCTCCACTAAATCCTTCTCTAGATGCAGAACTGCAGGAAATACTCAAGGTGTTATTACTGCAACAGTTTTCTGAAGCAGGTTTCTGAAAATGGTACTGTCTCCTTATCCATTCCTTTCCTTGTGATGGCCAGTGACTCTTTCAACATCCACTACATACTAAGCACATGACCTCAGAGAACTATCACTGATGATACCGAGGTCTCTTTCTTGAGCTGTAGCTGCCTGAGTTCAGCATCATAAAGGCATAGTCTGGATTATTTTTTCAAAAATACATTACCTTTCATTTGCCTGTCTGGACTTCATATGCCAACTTTTTTCACTCCTTTGGTCCTTCTGAACCTGGCACATCATTTGCCTATGCAAAACTACCTATCCGTAGACTTGGAGATTTTACCATTCAATTCCTTCTCTCCTCTTCATTATGAATAAAGAAATAGCAACAGTCCCTGTGGGACTCTTTGCTGCTGACTGTAATCCTCTGGCCATCTGTTTTCAACGGCCTTTGGTGTGGAACCTTTTAAAAAAGCATTTGAAAATTCAGATGCATTGTGCCGATTGGATTCCTTTCACTTGAGAGTTATTGGCACCCTCCTAGAGACCAAAGACAGCCATTCCCTTCTCAAAAGCTGATTCTTTCCTAAGAGATATGTGAAGCCATAGATGAAGCCATGGATGGAAGTCAGACTGGTCTGACTTCCCAGTACTAATCCATAGTTCCTAATTCTAAAGGTAAATTAGATAAAGGAAGTATTTTAAATCAATAAAATTTCCTTCTGCACTTAAGAATAAGTCCTCTTCTCTATCCATTTCATATGATGTCACTGGTGAAGCCTAGTTCAATATGTATAAAGGACCACGTATAGTATTTTTTTCTGTTTAATCAGTAGGTTTTGGGTTGTTTTAGATTAAAAAAATAGTGCAATTAAGTCATTCCAGAGAGTTAAAAAAACAATTTGGGCAATCCCAAAGGTCGTTGGTTTTGCACTCCAAATTCTTCAGTTCTAAAACCATTTTCTAATTCAGAAGCACTTCCTAAAAGGCTATTCTTTCACTCCTTTCTGCAAGAGAACATCAGCATTCTGCATTTTTAACTGCAAGCATACAATGTTATCTGCTCCTCCTGTCTTATGTAAGTTTGCAGGAATGCCGAAAGACTTTCCGGGCTCTGGGAGGTTAGGGGTTGGAATCAGGTCCATTGTATATCACTGCATTGACTTCTTGGGATGTGAAGTTATTGCAATTAAGATACTGGCCGGATGTGTGGGTTAAAGAACCCAACTGATATCACAGGCATTTATTGATAATGCAACTTCTGAGGAAGAAATCTGGGGAATTGTTGTTCTTCATGCTTTCCTCTGCAAGCAAGCAAACCATATGGATTTATCAGAAACACACAACACTTTATCTATCTTGAGAAAAAAAGAAGTAGTGTTTATTTTACTGCAGAGGAATGTTCTCTTTCAGTTTTGAGAGCCAGTTTTCTGAGCTGGCACTGTGTACCATTTGGCCTCCAGTAGACATTTTGCTCTGGTTTAATTCAGTGCTATCTTTGACCTGATTATTATTTACTACATGTGTTGTGATAATGTCTCTAAGCTGCAGCTAAGGAGAAGGGCTTCACTGTGTTAGGTGCTGTACAAACAGAACTGAAAGATAACTCCTGCCTTGAAATGTATAACTGAATTAAGAGCTGGCACATGAGGAGGAAACCATCAACTGGAGGCTGGGCTACAGTCTAGGAGCTGGCCTCCCTTCCTTACCTGTGCACAGTCTCAAACAAATGGCTTTCTCCTCTCGCACTTAACTTGGGCACCACTGTGCAGAAAACCCAGCTGAACAGCAGAGCATTGCATCTCCTAATTGATTCATATTCTGGTATCTGGGATTTAAGCATATCATCTGTATCTGAGTAGCTGTGGCTTTCTTCATGTTCCAGTGGGCAGACAGAGAAATAATGTTGACAAACACAAATATCCAAACAGTCACCTGCCTGATGATCACTCTGCAAAGTATTAAGAGCTTTCTGTGAAGAAAATCTTTTCCCAGAAATCTTACCAGAGTCCTGAAAACAGTTTTACTTGGCAACAGATGCAGAGCAGCCATCTGCTCCCAGAATATTTTGGGCCCTTTCTTAGTGCTTGAGGACAGCATCCAGAAGTCCATTAGCAAGGATGCTGCTTGGTTTAGTTTCACCATTTACCGTGTCAAGATCTGAGGCCTCAGTGGTTTTGCAGGATGGAGTTATTTGCCTGAAGAGGTCTGGTTAGGTCAGTGTCCACCTGTCTGGATCTGGCAGCAGGGATCCAAATGTTTTCCCAAAGCCATTGATTGCAAGACTGCCCTTGAGAAATGGACTTTGAGCTAGGCCAGAATGTTGGTAAAAGTATTTTCTTCTGTGCCTTGGGATAAGTCATTTCTCCATAAACTAATTCCCACTTTCCAGTACACTAACAAATTCCAAGAGTCTGAAGTATGTGAACATCCATGTTCTATGTGAGCTTAAGGCAGCCAAGGGGAGGTCAAGGGACAGGGAGGAAGACCGGCATGCTAACTGTATTCCAGCACCAGACTCGTTCTCCTGATCTTTTCTTAAGTATGTCTCTCTCCCTCTGTTTCAGCAGTATTTCAACTCTGTTTATGTTTTGATACTACCCAGGTGGAGATTTATTGAGTCTTTTCCTTCTGCTCCATGAGGACAAATATTAGCTGGTGCTGATGAGGAAAAATGGAGCAAAATAACAAGTGAGAGAGAGTGAAGTTCAGTGGGCTGTTTATACCAAGTTTCTTTCATTCAACAGCAGCACTTTGCTCTCCTTGAATTATTTGTCTCCCTTGTGCTAAAATCTACTACTGCACATATCCATGCAAATAACTTTGTACAAAACTGGAAAACGAAACAAGTCTAATGTGATCTGGTGGTATCTTTGCTTAAAACAAAAAAAAAAGTCCAATAGACAGCCAATAGTACAAATAGTATCGGTCTTCATATATTCTGTGGGGACAAGGCTTAGAAATTCTTGAACTCTCTTAACGTATGACTACTCCACTGAAAATGAAAGAAATAAGTTTGCAAAACAAAAACAAAACCAAAACAACAACAACAAAAAGCTCTGGAAAAAAAAAAAAAAAAAGAAAGTTGTCAAAATTACAACATTGCTGAAAAAGTTGGTGGCAAACCAGCAATTCAAGTTTGCCTTCTTTCATTTTTATTAATTAAATTTAAGAACAAAATATATACAGTACACAGCATAGTTCTATAGTTTGTTCATCTAGGCCCTAATAAAATGTATTCAATCTACTTGTGTTTTTTCTTTTTAAGAAAGTCCACAAAAAACACTTTGATCTCCCACCTCCTGCATTCTTTTATGGTCGTTTCTTGCTAGTTTTGTGTCTGTGGACTACAAGCTATCTTGATGAGAACTGGGTGTAGGATGGAAAAGTCTATTTTGTGTTCCTTAGGTGGATAGAATTCTTTTAACATTACTCTAATGTTGATATATATAATAATTACAATAATTGTCTCCCAGTAGGACCTTCATAAGCAGCTTATGACACATTGCCCTGACTGTTGAAAAGTTTGTCCTGGAAGATAATAAATGTCAATTAAAATGCAAGCTTTGCAGAGCACAGATAAGTTTCATACACAAATTCCACAAAAAAAATTGTTTTGTTATGTTGTGTTTTTTAAACACAGCCATAAGTACTAAATGAAAAGTAATGTGCAGGAACTGAATCAGCATGCTGTATAAGCACAGTAAATAACATAATGACTATGTTATGTTATCATCGTGGTACATGGTTTTGTATGCAAATGTTACCTCAAATATAGTCAATGATATCTACAATACAGAGTATTCAGGGCAGGAAAAAGAAAAACATTTTATATTATTTAGTTACTACAACTGAATTTCAAAACAGCATCATAAATTTACACATATCTGTGTCTAAGTTAACAGACACTTGCTATCACTAGCTTTTAGTTTGCTGCTTTATGTTGGATATCATACAAGATCTGTTAAAATACAAAGGGGAACATGGAATGAACAGAGACAGAGGCATGGTTACACACTCCCTAGTGCTAGTGTCTTGGGTCATTACCAGAGAGCAAAGGGGACTTCATCCAGCTGCTCTTCCAATTTATTTCATAGCCAGATAATTTTACAAGAATGCAGTTTCTGTGCCAGGCAACACAACACATTCCTAGTATTGCCACCATCTTAGGCACTTTGAGAAATTAAACCTGGAAGTAATTTTGTCATGCTGTTGTCCCCCTTGACACACACTGGTAAAGCATGACCTAAACTGGACTTACCTGATCCTTACCTTCATGGAAGGTTAACGAGAGGTTGTACATGGAGGTGCTGCAAACAGGATCTTGAGGAAATATCACTTCGGGAGCATGTGTACTAAAATTGGAATGATACAGAGAAGATTAGCACGGCCCCTGTGCAAGGGTGACACACAAATTTGTTAAGCATTCCATATTTTTTTAGATGCTGGGTGGACGAGGGAAAGGCTGTGGATGTGGTCTACCTTGATTTCAGTAAGGCTTTTGACACTGTTTCCCACAGCATTCTCCTTAAGAAACTGGCTGCTCTTGGCTTGGACTGGCATACGCTTCATTGGGTTAGAAACTGGCTGGATAGCCAGGCCCAGAGAGTTGTGGTGAATGGAGTTAAATCCAGTTGGAGGCAGGTCACTAGTGGAGTCCCCCAGGGCTCAGTACTAGGGCCAGTTCTCTTTAATATCTTTACCAATGATCTGGATGAGGGTATTGAGTGCACCCTCAGTAAGTTTGCAGACGACATCAAGTTAGGTATGTGTGTCGATCTGCTTTAGGGTAGGAAGGCTCTGCAGGAGGATCTGGATAGGCTGAGGTCAACTGCATGAAGTTCAACAAGGCCAAGTGCCGGGTCCTCCACCTGGGGCACAACAACCCCAAGCAGAGCTACAGGCTGGGAGATGAGTGGTTGGAAAACTGCCTGGCAGAGAAGGACCTGGGAGTATTGGTTGATAGTTGGCTGAATATAAGCCAGCAGCGTGCTCAGGTGGCCAAGAAAGCCAACAGCATCCTGGCTTGTATAAGAAGCAGCGTGGCCAGCAGGGGTAGGGAAGTGATTGTCCCCCTGTACTCAGCTCTGGTGAGGCTGCACCTCGAGTACTGTGTTCAGTTTTGGGCTCCTTGCTACAAGAAGGACAGCGAGGTGCTCGAGTGAGTCCAGAGAAGGGCAACAAAGTTGGTGAGGGGTCTGGAGAACAAGGCTTATGAGGAGTGGCTGAGGGAGCTGGGTTTGATCAGCCTGGAGAAAAGGAGGCTCAGGGGCAAACTTATTGCTCTCTATAGGCCTTAAAGAAGGCTGTAGCAAAGTGGGGGTTGGTCTATTCTCCCACGTGCCTGGTGACAGGACCAGGGCCAAATGGGCTAAAGTTATGCCAGGGGAGGTTTAGGTTGGATATTAGGAAGACCTTTTCTGAAGGGGTTGTTAGGCATTGGAATGGGCTGCCCAGGGAAACGGTGGAGTCACCATCCCTGGAGGTCTTTAAAAGACGTTTAGATGTAGAGCTTAGTGATAAGGTTTAGTGGAGGGCTTGTTAGTGTTAGGTCACAGGTTGGACTAGGTGATCTTGGAGGTCTCTTCCTACCTAGATGATTCTGTGAAAGCATACTTATAGCTATCCAAAGAAGAATTGTGAACTGCTCTTTCAGGGCTTTTCATTTAGGAATTTTATGTGAGGGGTAGTTAGAACAGAAAGCCCAGTATGCACCCTCAGAAAAGAACAAAACTAAGTAAGGAAGTAACTGAACTCAGAAAATTTATAGATGCAAATATCATTATGAGTTCTTTTTTTCCTCTTTATACTCTTTTAGAGCTAATACTTACTTTTAATTTAATACAAAAAAAAAAAAAAACTAACAGCTTGTTTGGTAGCAGCAGGGTCTGAAAATGGGTCCCGTGTTTGTTTGTAATGGCCATATGCAATTAAAATGCCTAAAGAAAGGAAAATTTTGCTCTTCCCATCACAATTCCATTGAAAAAAAATGTTTTTTTAAATCCTTCATCCAGCAGAACTTCTGCCTGAGATGGGCTGCTTTTTCCCCCTTCTGAATTCCTGGCACAATATAAATCAAACAAATTCAAGATAGCAAGGCCGGGAAAATCATTATTATAATCACAAAAACAGCAAAAAGGTCAACAAGAAGGAGGACAACAATAGGATTCTGGTAACTGTTTGGGAAGAAACTATTCTTACTGCAGTCAAACTCACTGTTTTCATAACAACAAATTAAATACCAAGGTAATTCCCCAGAGTCTTCTGCAGAGTGGCTCGGTCGCAATGCTAAAAGCCACTACAGCACAATGCACAATATCATTATGAAAACCTTCCAGCTGCTGAGCTACCATGCAGCTCGGCGTTTTTTTGAAATTAAGCTGGAGTCAAGCCTACCTTTTCAAAGCACTGCATTGTTATTCTTCTTTTCCTCCCGTTCCTGTCCATTTCCTCGTCTTCCTCTCTTACTTTCCCCTGTCAGGCAGACACATTTTAGATTCCATTCATAATCTGAGAAGCTCTAAGAGGGAGCATTGTTATACTGAAGCAGAGATGGCTGGACTGCTGGCTTCAACAGTCAGGTAAAAGAGACTCACAGGTGCTCCCCCATTTTCAAAATTTTATTTGCTTATTGGTGTCTGATATGTACCCTAAAAATATGTGATTGGCCAGGTGTAAGCTGCTATATTACATTTAAATGATTAAGGAAAGATTTCAACAAGGCAAGCTCTGCAAACACCCATTTGGAAAAACATAGCATTTGGATTTGCTTTGGCTGTTCAGCTTTGGACAATGGAGAATCAAGACCATGACTCCTTTTACTCATCAATAAAATATGATATTCTAGATATTGAAGTGTTTTAGTGAAAATTGCCAAGGACTAAAGGCATCAATTGTAAAAAGCAATTAAATATCATTTGAAGAATATCTTGCAGTAATACCATCCAAAGGGAAGGCTGGGGCAGTTGGTCCCTGCCAAACAGTGAGTTTAATGTGTTTTCCTATACAATTAATAGCTACAGAGGTTTCAACAGATAAAAAATACCCATGTAAGAACAATACGCTACTTTATCATCCAAAACTATTCACTATGTGCTCTAACACTTGGTTATATAGGGTCCACAATATGCATATTCTGTGTTATTTCATGGTATTTTCAAGTACATGCACACTAAGTTACCTTGTATCTGAAATCATGATTTCATGAGAGTCACGGCGATGCTAGATGAACACAATAAAATGAAGAATCCCTTCTTAAGGCTCAGTGGGGGTGGTAGGAGGGAAGTTGTTTTTGGTCTTTCTGTGGGCCATATCTCTTTCAATTTCTTTCTTCCTCAATTTCCAGGCCATAGTCTCATGCCTGCTGCTCTTAGCAAAGACTGGCTGCCTTTTTCTAGGAGTTGGGCACTCCTGGAACATTTTGTGCTCCACTTAGCTTTTCTGCAAATGGAAATAGAAAGAATTAAGTGGCTCCTTATCACGATACTTGTACTCAAAAGAAATTGCCAGATCAACATCAAAGTTTGAAATCAAGAAAACAAATAGAAATATTTTGACAAGTTGAACTTAATCTACATTAGAGTTTAAACCCCAGATATCTGGTCAGTCTCCTATCTACCTCATTTCTCCCCTCAAATAAAGTAGCTTCTGCCTCTAGTTCTGAATATCTTTCAGAGCTAAAGAAACTTTTAAAACTTTCTCTTAATCTCTTTGGAGACTCCAAGTGATCTGCCAAATGCCTAAATTAATTGTTTAGGAGATTTGTTGTTAATTATACTTTCTACTGTGAACTGGTTTTGAAAAGAGGTGGGAAAAAATCTACTATTTTGATTTCCTACCAATGGTTTTCCATTGGAGATCACTATCATGGCCCAGCCATCATTTTCTACAGGTAAGAACTGAGACTGTATGTTTCATTCCTGTTAGTTGGGAAAGAAGATATTTCAGACTCAAATATGTGCCAGATTCAAAAAAAAGTGCATCATATTTTTTTATGTATATATTCTAAAAACCCTATTTAGGAAATAGCCTTTTTTTCTGATGATCCTCTGAGCTAGTGTTAGAAACACAAGAAAGCACGAAGCAATGCAATCTCTAAAAATAGAATTGAGAATTTGCACTTTTCAAATTGTACAGATTTTACTTAATCTGGTATAAAATTCAAGGGTGGTGAGACTATCACAGAAGTACAGAAAGCACTGGCTAAAGAAGTTGCAGGAAACCCTGGAAACACTTAGCTTTATTTTGGCTTCCTAGTACACCATGTAATGAAGGCAGCCTTACCTGTTCACACAGTAACTTCTATTTCTATTGCTACATCCCTACAAGGAATCAACCTTTTTGGGGTATAGTGGGGAAATAAGCAATGAATAAGAAATACAAACAGCAGGTATCCCACACATGATAATACCAGTAGTGTGCATGAAAAATACTCCCTGGACCATCATCTTTACATAAGTTAGACGTAGTGTCCTGATTTTGGCTAGGATAAAGTTAATTTTCCTCCTAGTAGCTGGTATGGTGCTGTGTTTGGGATTTAGGATGAGAAGAATGTTTTAAAACATTAAAAAATTTAAAATTAAAAAAATAATTTTAAAAAATTAATTAATTAAAAAAAATAAAACACTGATGTTTTAATTGCTGCAGAGCAGTGCTTACAGTAAGCCAAGGACTTTGCAGCTTCTCACTCTGTCCTGCCAGCAGGCAGGCTGGGGGTGCAGCAGGAACTGGTAGGGGCAGACCCAGGATAGCTGACCTGAACTGGCCAGAGGGGTATTTCATACCATCTGACGTCATGCTGAAAAATTAACATGGGGGGGCTGGCTGGTGTGGGAGGACCAGCTGCTTGGGTATAGGCTACGCGTCTGTCAGCAGGTGGTGAGCAATTGCACTGTGCATCACTTGTTTGTACACATTACTAGTAGTAGTACTACTATCATAATTTTCCTTTCTTTTCTGTTCTAATATTCTGTCTTTATCTCAACCCACAGGGTTTCATTTCCTTCTGATTCTCTCCCCACATCCCAGAGAGGGAGGGGGGGAGGGTGAGCGAATAGCTGCGTGATGCTTAGCTGCCAGCCAGGTTAAACCACAATACATAGGCTTTATGGTACAACATATCTTAGTTTTTCTCAAGTCCAAGCATTACTAACACATACATTTGTAGAGGTCTGCTTGACAGTAGCCAGATCAACATAGTTACTAGAGAACAGCTTTATTTAAAAGGGAAAAACAAGTTTATTCTCTCCAGGAAGACATCCTCCTCCACTTCCAGGGATTTACAACACATAAAGAAGAATGTAATCACCAGAACACTGTTAAAAACGTTTGTCTGAAGTTACCAAGCAGTAGGATGCAAAACAAGGCAGGGAGGAGCTTCTAGTTCAAACTGATCAGGCAGGGCTGGCATAAGACAACACATCCATCTCTTTCCCTTATTGATAAACTTCTCTGCAACTTACATCACCATAAATGTAAAAACAAATCTGTAGAGGAGACAGTTCTCAAATGGAAGATCAAAAGCCTAGCTCCATTGAATGCAACAGCAAGAGGCCAAGTGATTTTAATTCACTGTGATTTCATCCTTTGTTTACTATATAGGCCATTATTAACTAACTTGGTCTTCCAAATGTCTCTTGCACCCAATACTTGTTTTGGTTTCTGGAGGTGAAAAGCTAACTTAGGCTTACCATTTAATCATATGTTTCCAATGCATTCCACCTGACTACTGTTGAGGCAAGCTTTCTTTCTAATTAAAGGTGAACTAAAGAACCAGTGATTAAAATAAGATCAACTTTTCCTTAAATACTGTTTTATGTCAGGAGAGTGGTCAAAGCTAGTAGTTGGTTCCAGAGATCTGTTTACTTACAGCAGATGAACTTCTCAAATAAGGAATAGTAAGTCCTTTTCTTTTTCTTGCTCAGGTTGAAAAACTCAGTTGAGTCTACTGGGCAATCTTTCAATTAAAAAAAAAAAAAGAGAAAAAAAACAAACTCTGCCTTCCTTTCAGACTAAAAGCCAACTCAGCCCAAAGAAGGCTAAAGGATTTGCCTAAAGGCCACAGGGAAGATTGTGTACTGTCTATAATTTTGTTGTCAGAATAATACCTATTGGACTTTTTAACTTTATTTTTAATTTTTAATAAGGAAATGAGATTTTTGTAGCATTACATGTGTTAACTGACCACGCTCTTTCAGATCCATGGTAAAATAATGTGTCTACGTACTTTTATGTCATACACACATAAGAAATTAAGTTCTTCCCATTTCCTGGTTGCTTGTGAGGCATGAGCATAGAATCTCAGAATGAAACTAAACCCAGAATCATGTTAGATTCGTTGGAAGACTTGTAGTAACCCTAATAAGAGCTACTGCTTCATTTGGGAGAAGTTTGATAGAAGCTGAAAGTCCAGTTGCTCCTCAGGGCACCTGGAGGAGTTGCTGCTGAGTTGGGAAAAGAAATGTAAAACCTAACCTGCCATGGGCTTGACACTGCGCATATGCTGGAACAGGACCAAAAAATGTTTTCCTCAGTATGTCAAATATATTTACAATAACAGATGGAAATGGCCACTCAACAGATTTATCATGCTCTGATCATAAAAATAGCATCCCCAGATACAATGCCCTAACCTACAGCAGAGCTTTACTGTGTGCATTTACTGTGTGCCATGTTTTCAAGATAACTGCAAAAGAGGGCAGCAAAGTCTGCTTCCAAAGCAAAATGCTGACAGGAAAGCAGTTCGTTCAATTATTTATAAAACTGGGGGATATTTATTGCATCTGATTCACCATAAAAACATCCAGGGCATATCTGCTCTGTAGGCCACAGAAGAATGATGTCACAAGTTGTTTTTCTGCAGTAATAAGTGATCCTATTGATGACTGTTTAGAGTTATCCCCAGACAGAGTCATTTAAAATAAGAATGCCCAGCTAATCTTGTTCAGATCTGACATGCATTGTTTAAGCTATCCAGAACAAATGATAGGGTGGGCTTGAATCATTTCTTATGGCCAGGAGACTATGAACTCACTTTGACTCAGTACAGGTGTTGAAATCACTACAGCATTATCCCTGGAGATAGGTAATCCTTTAAAGGTTCAGAGCTTTGGGTTAGATAAAGATCTAAACATTTGGATGTTTATCTGAAACCTTATCTTGATAATCTTAAATCCTGGAGGCTGAACACCCATCAGTTGTACATTTACAAGTAAAAGATTAACAGGGCCTCTTTTTTCTACAGGCTTAAAGCCTGATCCTAGCATCTCCAAATAAACAAAACCTCACATTGATATCAACTTGCCTTTGAGTTGGAACATTGCTCACAGGAAGTTCCCTTTCAGCTGATAACAAACATTATCTGATGGAGAAAAACTAAAGTTTTAGTCAAAAAATATAGTGTTGTGTTAACCCGTTACCCACCCCCCCCCCCCCCCAAATCCATCTTCCATAGCAAATTGTTCTTTTTTTTACTGAAAATCTCTACACCTGAAACTGGACAAAGGAGCTTTGGTTAAAAAGCAGAATATTTCACCTCCTCCTCCTCGGAAAAATGGGATCTCCCTAATGAAGTACTATGCTTTTAAGTCCACGCCAGTATTTTAACTCAGATGTCTCAGATTTCTTCCCCCCTTTGCTGTCCTTCATTCCTCAGGATGCTAGATGACTGCTAGTGAAGAATGGAATGTCATGGTAGAGATGAAGAGCTGGGAGTGTGAAACACATGCTGCATTTTGCAGAACTGAATCATGCTGTTGGAGAGGTATTTTGCTTTTCCACTATAGTACCTCAGATTTTTCGATTATTTATCATTTTACTCCTTTCTTGCATATCAATGAACATAAGAATATTTTTTTTTACATGATGAAAAATTACACAAATTTTAATATTCATGTTTTATGTATAGAAGATATCCCCCCCCCCCCCCAGCTGTATGATCACTACTTTCTCCCCAGAGCCTGTTAAAATCAGAAATGTTGCTAAGTATCAGTTCTTGTATCTACAAAGAAAGGAAAGCTGGCCCAAAAAAAGAAGTGGAGGAAGGAGGAGGACAAGATTCAGGGCTAAGACAGTAGCTGGAGATGAGGTAGGTATGGGTTCATCTACCTGCTCCATCACAATCCCATCAGTCCTTCCCCTCAGATGACTCTTTAGACTCTGGCTTTCCTGTTAACTCTAGAGGCTAGCACTCCCTTACGGAGCATTTCAAGACTAAACGCTGAAAAATAAAAAAAAAAAATAGTTTGATACACTAACAACAGTTAGATAAAGAAAAGGACTTTGCTGCTGCTTTTGCAAGCTGAGCTTCTTCCAAATTTGGATCATGCTACATAGAGAATTGGCATTGTTTTGCAGCATTTTAGAGGCTAGGAAGAAAATTCAAACACTTTCCCCTTCCTTTTCCCCTGCCATGCCAGTTACAGCCCACAGTCAGC